ACTGTTTCAACTGACTTAGTTTTAATTGTGTTTAATGTTTTTAATTGGATCATTTGTGTTCTATGGATTTTCCTGTATTCAACTGGGTTCTACTGAAATCTATTGAGGTCTACAGTGTTTTACTGGATTGTAATGTGGGTCATGTCAGGGTCATGTTAAGGTCATGTCAGGGGAAATCAGTCCGCTGTGAAGTTAAATCAGCGACAAATTTTAAAACAACAAACTGTAACAAAAATCACGTGACTAAAAGAAGCATGTTTTTCTTATGTTATGATAAAAACCCAGAAATAGAAAGTAGTATGAACAATGTAAACAGAGTGTAGTCTGAAACAGGATGAAGAATGACACCATCAGTTTTTACCTTTTGGCGGCAGACGACACCGTCTCTTTCCTGGTGACAGATGTGGAGTCTCTCTTTCGCCCAGATGTTCCTCCGTTAGTGATACAGGACATGGAGTAGGCTTCCCGTAGTACAGCTCCACCTGCTGGGGACATCACGCTACTATTACACTGACTGAGCCCCGGCTTCATTTATCACAGAGTCAAAACAGAAACATCCGGTTTTACATTTCTAATGGTCAAACTGATCATGAGTTTGTGTCTGAAGTAAAAACTAGATATAATCAAAATCACTGTCATCTACGAGTCTAAATAAAAAAGAAACTGAGTCATGTGACTAATGATCGATTTCATCATATTATCACGTTTTATTGATAAAGAGGAAACTGATCATGTTTAGAAACTTCAAACACTTTTTAGATATTGCTGATATCGTTTCTATTTAGTTTTTTATTAAATCAATCAAAAATAAACATTTTCTTTTCATTGATTGACGACATTTAAACTTTGTGCAGACGGAGAATAAAACAACCAGCTGATGAGGTCAGAGGTTAAATTCATTAGAGCCAATCAGAGCAGTCAGTTGTAGATTTCATCAATCATTAGTCGAATAAAACTTCAGGATAAATCCAGAAACATTTCAAACACACGTCACCTTTTCCTCCTTGTTTTTTGGTCACAGGCGTTGCAGAGTCTTCAGACACAGCGAGACGACGAAGCACGTCAGCGAGAGCGGCTTTCATGACCGTCAGCTCATCTTCCTGCTGCTGAACACGAAGCTCCAGAGCCGAGAGACGATCGTTGACATCCGAGACGCTCGCTCCAGACATACTGTCATCTGCAGAGACAGAGAGGTAATCTGATTACACTGTCACCTACAGATATATATACACACACAGACGCCCGCGTCCTCTTCTGATTGGTTCTCATCAGTCACATGACTCGACTACCAGCGGTGAACACAAAGCGTCGCTAACACTTCCTGTCAGGAACAGTTCCACCTCGTCGTCGCTCAGAGAAAAGAAACCTCTGCTCTGACTGTTCACCATCACTGCTCCTCCATCAGAGGTTCTGTTGCTAAGCAACCAACCAGTGTAGGTGAACGGTCATGTGACGTGTGTTCAGGCGTGTTTGTGGACAGACGTGGTTTAAATGCAGCATCAGGCTGAGAGTCACACTGTCATGTGTCAGTGTGTTGGTGTCAGAGGTTCTGTGTGATTCAGTGTTGGTGTCTTTAGAATAGAATCAAATACTGGATTCTACTGGTCTCTACCAGGTCTGTACTGGTCTGTACCAGGTCTCTATCATGTCTGTACTGGTCTCTACCAGGTCTCTATCATGTCTGTACTGGTCTGTACTGGTCTCTATCATGTCATTACCAGGTCTCTATCATGTCTCTCTCAGGTCTGTACTGGTCTCTACTGGT